AAAGGCCTTCTATTTCTGATTCCATCTCCCACTTTCCTTGGATTTCTCCTGATGTTCCTTCCTCCAATTTTGAAGAAACAATTCTAGTTAAAGAAAGATCTGAAATCTTTCTGATTTCTTCATGACATCCAGTAACTGTCCAGTAGAGGGAGTTCTTTAACCTTACTCTTCTCTTCCAGTCATAACATATGATACAATCAACTTTCCTTCCCCTCCACCCCATTTTTATCTGCGAAATTCTCCATAACTCTTAAGTTGTTAAATGCTTATCTTAACAATCTTATCTTTGAGATTTAGTTCAAATTAGTCAAAACAATTGCATGATATAAATTTTAGCCTTTAAAACAAACTTTCAAAGCCCTTTCTCACAGCCTTTCCTCCTATGCTGGGATGTATCCACTCCAACAGGGAAAGCTGAGATCAGTGTAATAAACACTGTTTCCTTATTTCATAACCCTTTGATCTAACCCTTTGTCATGGTTAGATCACTTCCCCCTGAAGTTTGGACTTTTGGCCCCCTTTCCTCTCTCTACAGGTGCGGGACCCATAATGTTTGTCTGCCCCTGGAGTCTAACAGACTCAGAAGGTTTCCAGAGCACTCTGGGGGATTTTTTTGGCTGGAATGGTTGGTACACTTGTCAAAGCCCAGTTCACCCTGTGACCTGGGCAGTTGACATCTCACCCTGAGATGACCTGGGCAGTTGACACAATTGCTCCCAGGCACCCTCTTCCCTCTCACCCAGCCCACCTGACTTCTTGGTATACACTAGAGCCGCGAGTAATGAAGCAAGAGCTCAGGTGGAAGAAAACTTGGAATGAATCTGACTAAACATGGCTTAGTGCCCATTATGAGGCCTATTCTGCAGTGGTGAAGGTGGCAAAGAAGGACTTCAATCTCTGCTGGACAACCCTCCGAAGATGCAATGGAGGTGGCAAAGAAGGACCTCTCCTTGGAGTGTTGTCCAGCAGAGATCTTCTAGGTGGTTTAGGGCCTTTTACACTCTGGCCCAAGACATGACAGAATTGGACCCTCAGAGACCCACTCTGACCAGTTTGTGCAACACTTTGAGGATAAAGTTGCTCAGATTTATCTTGAGTGGGACACCACAGTTATCCCAGTGCCATCAGCAGAGGCATGCAGTGCGCCATATGGTCCCATCTTAATTGTTTGACCCTTGTCCATCTTGGCTAATAGAGAGATCCCTGGATTCAGGACGTGGTGCCTGCCCCTCTAAAGATGATGGTGATTACATCACTCCCCAAAACTCACATCTGGATCCAGAGGGCATAACTAATTATTGACCTATAGCCAATAATTCCCTTCTGGGGTAAGGTGCTGGAGTGGGTTGTGGCCAGGAAGCTATAAGTATTCTTGGAGGAAATTAATTATCTAGATTCATTTCAATCAGGATTTAAGCCCGGGCTCAGAACAGAATCTGCCTTGGTTGGCCTGTGAGATGACCTAGCCCAGGAGAGAGACAAAGGGAGTGTGACCCTAGACCTCTTAGCAGCTTCTGATACCATCAACCATGGTATCCTTCTGGAGAGGCTGGGTGGGTTAGGAGTTGATGACAACACTTTGCAGTGGCTCTGCTTCTACCTGGCTGTCTCCAGTTGGTGGTAGTGTCACTTTGTGCCATGGCACTTGTGTTATGGAGTCCCACAGGGCTCCATTCTGTCCCCCATGCTATTTAACATCTATATGAAACTAATGGAGGAGGTCATCTGAAGGTTTGGGATGAAGTATTACCAGTACACTGATGACACTCAGCTCTACCTCTCATTTTCATCCAATCCAGGTTAGGCAGTGACTGTTCTGAACTGGTGCCTTGCCTCAGTAATGGACTGCATGAGGGTCAATAAGCTGAATCTCAATCTAGACAAGATAAAGGTACTGTTGGCGGGCAGTGCATTTGTCCAGCTGGGAAATTTCTTGGATGGGGTTGTGTTCTTCTAAAAGATAAGGTTTGTCACTTGGGGGTGCTTCTGGACCCCAAGCACCTTCTATCATCTTAGGCTGATTTTACAGCTATGTTCTTGGACAAGCGGAGTCTCGCCGCAGTTATCCATGTGCTGGTAACCCCTCACCTGGATTACTGTAGGTGCTGCAGTATATGGGGCTGCCTTTGAAGACAGTCTGGGCACTTCAGTTAATTCAAAACAGAGCAGCATAGTTTTGAATCCTGGAGAAGGACATCCTGGAGAACATATCATGCTGGTCCTCTGCCAACTGCACTGGCTGCCTGTTATTGCCTAGGTCCAATTCCAAGTGCTTATACTTGCTTACAAAGCCCTAAATGTCTTGGGATCAGGATATCTAAAGGAATGCCTGTCTCCATACATCTCTGATAGATCACATAGATCTTGAACAGAAGCCCTCTTTCATGACCCCCATCCATGAAGTGCAGGGGGGGATTAGCAAGAAAAAGGGCCTTCTCTGTTATTGCACCTTACCTTTGGAACTCTTCCTAGAGATGCAACTGGCATGCTTATTAGTCTGTTTATGCCACCAAGTAAAGACTTTTTTGTTTAGTACCTGCATTTAGGATCATATTTCTATTTACTTTGCTGGTTTTATTGTTGTTTATATTATCCTTTTGTTTTCGCACTTTAGATTAGTTGGATTTTATGTGGTTTTAGATGGCATTGTTTTATTTTAGTATAGTAATGCTATGTTGCTGTTTCTGTTTTTTGTGACCCACTCAGAGAGCCCCCAGGCGATGGGATGGCATACAAATATAATAAATAAATAAAGTCTTTGGAAATCTAACCTAGAGCTGATAAAAATAAATAGAAAATATTTGCAAACATGCTTTGTAAGGGCAAATAAACATCTATAATAACACAAAAAGGGAATAGTCTTTCCTGAATTAATCATGAACTTGGAGCTGAGTGACATTTTTAGAAATATTCTGAAATACCACTTTGAAGAATAGAAATACCCTTTTGTACAAAATTAAGCAGCTGGTGGTGCCCAGACAACACAGTCTCACATCTGATGGGGAAAATGGTCATCCTGTGTTTTTCCCATCACTATTTCCATCCTTTTTCTTAATATACAAAGAAAAATTAAGGATGGAAAGACTGCATAGCTGCACAATGCTATGTGCAGTGATATTCTGAGTGATAGTGTTGGACTGGGACTTGGGAGATCTGTTTTCTAGTCTCCACTCAGCCATGAACTGGACAGCCATCTGAGAGGGATGGTTTCTGCCCTGAGCAGCAGGTTGGACTCAATGGCTATTACAGAATAGGCTCCAACTCTGCTATTCTGAAATTCCATGATTCTGTGAAACTCTGTAGGTGGCCAACTGCTGACTTTCTGTCTAACCTATTTGACAGAGAGGATGAAATAGAAATGAAGAGGATTATGCAAGTCACTTTAAATTCCTTGTGGGGAAAAGGAGGATATAAATATAATAAATAAATAGCTGTAGAAGCACCTTCGAATATATTATAAAACATGTCATGGCAACCCTCTGAAGTGCCCAGCAACCACAGTGAAGCTGATACATGACTGGGTTCAATCTAGTTGCTCTCCTCTCCCCACTCACCTCCTTCACTCTCATTCCTCCAGGCATTATCCCAGGCACAGCACATGCAGGAATGAGGATCCTCTCTTTGACAGCTGTAATTGCCAGCTAAGTTCAGTGTGCCAGCAGTCAAGTAGTTTCTGCTGTGCACATGGGACTCACATCCTGAAGCACAGCAGAGGGCAGGGAGCTAATCAGGCACCCTTGTCCCTTTAGAGTGCATGGGGTGTCTGATCCTTTCTCAGGCATGAGGGATGGTCAGTCAACTGGGCAGCTCTATGGAAAAGAGCAATGCTGATCAGCTGATTCCCCTGCTGTTGCTGCCTAAGTGGGTCTCTCTCCAGCAGGAGGTGAGGAAGCTGCCTTCTCTGCTCATCCCTGCCTAGCCCAGGCCCCACTTCTGCTGGAGAAAAAGCTGCTCAAGTAGGAGAGGAAAGGGGCAGTTTGGGCTAGGCTGGGACATGCCTAGAATGGAACAACACTGCCTAGCCCTGGTTCTCCCTTCTTCTGCTGTCCTGGGCAACTCTCCTTCCAGCAGGAGCAAAGAAGAGGTTAAGCCTGCTCCTGCCCACTCCTGGTTGAGAGATGTTGCTCTCGCTGGGGAGCCAACACACCCCAGAGCACCCTCCTCCCAAGCAGGAGCAGGGGTGGATGGCACTTGCCCTCTTCTTCCCAAGCTGCACCTCCCAGCTGATTCTTCCCTTCCTGCTCATGGGTTACAGGTGGGGGGGGGCAGCAATCAGAGAGTCAGACCTGCCCAGCTGATTGGCCCAGCTCCTACCCTCAAAGAGACTTCTGAAAAAGGAGGTGGGAGGTGCCAGGATACCACTGACAGCAGTGCCAGACTGGGTCAGCTGCCAGCTGCACTCTCTTGCCAAGCAGCTCTCTTTTCTGGTCTTTCTACAACAGTGGGTTGTGTTGTCCAGGTCTAGATAACACAACAAGCAATTGTGGCAGGGAGAAACTGTAGAACAGAATTGTTATGTTTTACTGTGGTTTGACAAGCATGATCAGGCACAATGATCAGTCACTACAACTGGGTTGAGACAAAACAGTAAGCATCTGTGGATTTTATTATCAGTTGCTTGTTGTGTCATGTGACCCTGCCCAGTGTCAGTAGGGTGGGGAACAGGACAAAGAAAAGGCAATCCTGCTTTATTGCCCACAGGCAGGCATTTCGACAAACACAGATAGCTTTACCCTTGAAAGAACCAGGGCTGGCCTTGGCCCTGCCTATGGGAGTTATCCTGCAGGATAAATAAATCAGAGTGCTCTCCAAGATTCCTGGGAAAACCTAGCATTGTGGCTCTAATACTATGTATACTGAACTGGATGCAAGCCTTATTGAACATACTGACCTCATTTACATGATTGCACTAAGGAAAATACACCACTGTAACTGTTTAGATCAAGCATATGTATAATTTAGCAGTATATAACTTACCTGGCACTCCATCCAAACCTGCTGATCCCACATTGCCAGGTATTCCAGATATATTGGCCATTCCAGGAAGGCCTGGACGTCCATCAGGTCCAGGGTCACCAGTTGGGCCTTGCAGTCCTGCCAGTCAGAAATTAAGGAATAACTACTGGGGACAGAGGCACAGATACCAAGAGGCACAGTTGCCAAGGAAGCATACATTCCTAGCTGTGGCAATTGCTTCCCTAGCAAATGTATTAAAAGCAGGGAACCTGATCTAAGACAGGACTGATCATCCAGGTAGAATGGGATGCAAATGTTCACAGGTTATCTTCTATTAGCATGGGAAGGAATTAAAAATGGAAAAAACAGTGTGCAACTACATTTATCCTCATCAAATGTAACTATTTTCAGAAGTGCCAACAATCTGCTGTTTATTTTGAGGATGGCTGTCATTATTAGCACTTCCCACCACAGCAAATTCCGATCACACCAAACATTTGGAACTGACCTAAAGTATAGCTAAGTCTATCACTTGTTTGATATGAGATAATATGAGTTTTGTGAGATGCCGAATATTGTGGCTGCAGCAACTAAAACCATAATACAGATTCTATAATATCCATTAATGGGAACAGACTGCATGAGTTTTCATCATCTCATCATCTATGTTCAAGAAATATGTATTCAAGCACTAACAGATGCAAAAGTAATTTACTAAAATGGTTACAACCTGTACTCCAGATGTAGGCAACATTTTCCCTTGTCTCCCTCTCTCTCGCACACATTCAGCCATCAGTATCAATTCACAGAACCCTCCCCAACTCCCCAGACTG